ACTTGTCAGGCGAAAGCCCAGCACGTCCTGGAACACGGCTGCTGAACTATTTGCTGGAGCAGGGTAAATCCGAATCACCCAGCTGGCACCACGAGGTGGCTGTGCAGCTAGCCAGCTGATAACACCAAGAGGGAACCAGAAGATGTATTCATTGCAGCGATTGCAGCCGAGGCAAGCGTCAGTCACTTGTTGCACAATGCCGTCAGCAACTTGTCGGTTAATGACAAGAAGGTTCGGCAGGCGATCAAATGTGATGCGTTTTTACAAGAAGTTATGACTTAGGTAAAACGCGGCTGGTCAAAACGGTGTCCACAGGCGGAACTCAGTCATTATTTCACGAGACGCGACTCCTTGCCGGAAATGGAGTCCTGTCTATTGTTCGCAGATCGCATCGTGGTCCCAGAGCTCCTTCGAAAACGCGTCCTAAGTCAACTCCATAGTGGCCATCCAGGAATCAACCGCATGAAGGCTGTCGCTCGCAGTTACATTTTTTGGCTGAGGATGGATACTCAGCTGTAGGACATTGGGCGCATGTGTACTAAATATTAGCGTGCTTCCAGGTTACCAGTAAAAAGGACATTACACTTGTGGCCGAAACCGGATTTTTCATGGTCGCCTTTAGATGTGGATTTTGCCGGACCCGTTGAAGGAGTTACGTTGTTGAAGTTGGACTTGGAGTATCCGCTGGTGGTTGGGTTGCTACAAGCAACCTCTATTGAGACCTCGGTTCACTTGAGGTGGACCTCGGTCATCCCGATCAAAAAGACCGTAAGTAAAATGGAAACATTAAAGTGTTGCTCATCCCAACATTGGCACCCCAAGACCGCTGTTTCGTCCTGGTTGGGACTCATCGTTTGGAGATAGCCTGAGTTGGGCTGGAACTCAGAGCCTAGTGGCTCATGGTTGACGCCATAAGCACTATGCCACTGAGATCCGCGAGCAACGCTTGGTCCAGTGGAAACGAATGCAAAGTTGGACTTGGAGTATCCGCTGGTGGTTGGGTTGCTACAAGCAACCACTATTGAGTTACGTTGTTGGTGCTCGAGGTTGCCGCTAGCAAGTGGCCCGAAGTCAGCGTGATACACAAGACGTCGGCACTCAGTACAATTCGCGCATTGAGACATATTTTCATTCAACACGGACTGCAAGCAATAATTGTGTCAGACAACGGAACGCATTTCATATCTTATCAGTTTGCCCAATTCTGTGCGCATAACGGAATTGAATATATGAGGATTGCGCCGTATCATCCACAATCCAACGGGCAAACGAAAAGGTTTGTGGACACTTTGAAACGAGCGCTGCAGAAATCGTGGGGGAAGGAACCCTGAACGCAAGGTTGGAAGGATTTACATTAAATTATCGTGTTACCATGATTCCCGAAGCATCAAATGGGAAAGCACCTGCTGAGATACTCAAGGGTCGGAGGTTGAGGAGCACTCTGGATTTGTTAGCACCTAAACGCCCACCGATGCGCCGCGCTAACGCTCTAATGGCAAACCAGTACAACCGACGACATGGAGCACGACCCAGAAATTTCGAAGTTGGAACCCCGGTGTTTATTACTTCTCCACAAGGGTACAGGCTCAAGTGGATACATGGAAATGTCGTGCGGCGTCGTAGTCAGGTGATGTACTAGATCTGCTGTGTCAATCCGAGGAGGCCGCGCTACGGGGAGGAAACCGTGCATGTGTTAATAACGGACTAGCTCTTACAGAACTGTTGGATAATAGTGAGGTGAGCACTTTTGCTCGGCGACGCACACAACCATTAGAACGCCCAGAAAATGGGACACAGAAGAGACCGAAAAGGAGAAGACGATTTGTTCAGCCATTCCAAGTGGATCCCCGACGGAAAAACTACACTCTCCTCAAGTAAAGTCATTTCTTTATGAAGAGGTGTTAGGGAGACACGTATTGAACATACATATTTTGGGGAAACATTCTCACTTACCGAATTGTTTCCTTCAACTATTCATGGTAGTAACCTTTGTTTAAACACATCATTCCGCTAATTCTATTGGCTGCTTGTGGTCACTGATTTTGCTCTCGGATCGCAATGCCACTTGGCTGCTAACACTATCTTTTCATTCGTACGTGTCTCTTATTGGTTCCTTTGTTGAGTATTTTTCATTTGCTTCATGATGCTTGCATGTTTTAGCAACATGATTGGCTGAAATGTCTTTTAGTAGCTTCCCTTTAGACCATTGTTAAGGCGTTTAAACGGGCATGATTCAATGCATACGATTCCTTCCGGACACGTCTTTGGAGTTCTTCTTGCGGTCGTGGGGTGAAGGAGTCCGCTGCCACATAACCCAGCAGGTGTGGATCGATAGGGTCTCTAGTGTTCAAGCAAATGCTGCCTTTTGGTCAATCTGCAACAAAGTGCGCATGCTGAGGAAGCTTGTCTTAGCGAACCTCCGAGTCTCCAAGGAGAAACGGATGAACTGACATCGGCGGCTTAGTTGAACATGGGCTTGTCGACAGGGCAGGAATGACATTCCGAGTTTGCATGTGAGTGGAAAATAAAAGCTAAAAGCCTATCACCGCAAGATGAGGGAAGGCCACGTATTGGAGGGTTGGAAACAGGGGAGGTAAAAACGAACCTGGAGCGGGACGATAAGGATGAAGAAGCGAAAATAGTAATCAGAAGACGGGAAGACTTGAACAGTGGCGTCCTTACCCCTATCCAACCTGATGGAGGAAGCAGATGGGGCGCCGTTTACTAACCTCTGCGACGGCCAGAGCGTCAAGAAATCACCAGCCTCGGTTGGCATCAGTCTTTCACGTGAACGGCTCTCCATGGGAATCCTAGTAAGCATAATTTCGGCGTTGAAAATCTCACCTGCTATTGTTTGATTTGTGGTTGAGTTATCATCATACCCGGACGTAAGCGGCCTTGCATTTATTTCATTAATTGAATGATAATCGTGAACTATAGTTCCCATACATGTGGAATACACTGCTCCGATGTTTGGCTATATGCGTTGTACCCAACGAAGGCACTGCATCAGAGTGCCCTATATGCGACCTTTGATAATAAGAGACCATTGGGCTCGTTGCGCTACGGAAACAGGCGGCAAGATTTCCGCTGTGCTTTAGCCGTCATCCATTACACTGTGAATTATGGAAGAAAAATGGTTAGTGATGAGATATGGAAGATCAATTAGAGAGCATCCGAATCAACAAGAAGTGAAACGTCAGCAATCATCTGTGTTCACACCTTTTTGTGGTTTACAGCACTTAATTTGGTGAGCTAACACCTTATTCACTAGTGGCAGCGTAGCTTGAGATGAGCATTTGTAAACCAGTATATGCGACACAGTAGCTGAGGTGTTCCCCACCTCTAGCTAACGGGTATGAGATGATGAAACCAGTATATAACAGTTATATTCATCTTATAGGAGAGAGGACCCATAGGGTTCGTGCTGTACTCCATTTGGAATGAGCTCATTAGTCGTAATTGGTTAGCTTCGATGGCTGGATATATCTACTATTATAATCATCAACCTTTTTGTAGCAGCAACTCTGAGGGGCTTAGAAAGCGATGGTTAACACAATCCGGTGAACCCCAGAGGTAGATGAACCGCTGCATTATGTTTATTTTCAATTGGCTCACAGCGATTGCTACGGCTGTGGTGTACGATAACCAGGCGATACTGCATAATGCACAAACATGACTACTCTTCCTTAAGAACGTTAAGGGGTTCATGGATACGGAGAGTGGGGTTTGTGAAGCATCGACAGCGTCGTAATATCGTCTTCAGAGACAAACGGTGCATTCAACGAAGGGAGGTTTTGCAAAACAGCAGTGTTTGGTCCGCTATTCGGACTAACAATCGACCGTCATTCGGTTACATTAATAACGACTGTGTTGGGTCGATGAAGGTTGTCAGTTGGTTCAGTCAAACCAATAACGACTGAACTCACTGTAGCATGACCAAAAGTCAACCGATCAGCGGAACCGCATGGACGGATGACCATGCATCCAGCAGCCAAGCATCATAAGTTCACTTCCGATTGGCCACCTAGTTTGTCCCTCAGATCCCTCTGCTCATTCCGATTGCATTCTCCGATCACAATCGGTACTGTGATTCCCTCTGGCATCACAATGAATTCTGCTGGATGTTCACCGCTTACCTTGATCAAATTGCACTCCTCGCATGCGCTCCTACTGCAGACTCCGGCGTGTGTTGGCTCCCTAGTTGGATGAAACGTCACAGCGTGTGGTCGATGATATGACTAAAGCTAATGAAGAAACAGGCTGAGGTTCTCGGTTTGGTCTTTAAATCGATCACGACGTCGGCCATTATTCATTCAGAATGTTCGCAGAGCTCGTGTATACAGGCGTTTACTTTGGCTTCGAGCCGTGACTTTGATAGCGTCCTCTATTTGTCAGCCGCCTGAACCCTGTTGCTGATCACTGAATGAAGGTGGACCGGGAACCGAAAAAGATGGTCAGCGTGCAAGCTGTCTTTTTACTTAAGCCCCTTGTGTGGTGTCAACGTATCGCCCAATACACATTCGTTTCCCATCGCTGGATTTACTGAATTCGGTGGTTCTGTAGAGCTAAAAACCACGGGATGATGCTCCCTCTCGGAGTGTTAAAATGGCCTCTGCTAACCAGTGAAATACGCTTCTCGAGTCTTTTTTGGTGCTTGGCTTCAAACTAACCGCGACTGTTTGTGCCAGAATGTAGTCACTTGTTGTGTGCAAACATCGAGTGACCGGATGAGTGAACTGGATGCCTCCAGTTAGTACTGAAGAGTAACATGATGGATACCAATCTTGACAAATGGTGGAATCGTGGACTCCACATCATGGATATCTACGTCAGGGGACTAGTAGTTATTTTATAAACAAACAACTCGTGTAAGAGGAACACTTTGCTGAACAGCCCAACAGGTTCAGCATTTGTTCCCACCATAGATTAAGCAAACATTAAGAACTGATTGGTTACTGCGTGTAACAGATTTCTTTGATCCAGTCTAGGTAACTTACCTTGTGACTCTGATTCTTCGTGTATTGAGCTAAGTCTGGCAGTTCCGGTTTACTGATGTGCAGATAGTGATACTCTCCGGGGAGAATTCCTCCTATTACTTTGGGTTCGTGAAACTCAGGCAATAAATGACAACTATCTTTTTCAGGTTTCTGAGGGACTCCATTGTCGCAACTGAATAAGGTAAGCATCTGTTGTCCAAGCTGAAAGAGAAATGCACGACTCCTATGACGAGCAGATGATAAGTCGGCTACTTAGAGGAAGTCGAGTTAGATATTAACATGTGAATAACTTACGAATGAACAATGGAACAGTGGTGTATTACGGGTAAAAAAGCAATTCTTAACCAGTCCCGTGGGATGGAAATTATTGCGAAAACTAAATTGCGGGATAAAGTGAAATCCGTTTTGGTAGACTCACCATAGACGTATGTAGAATAGCGGAGATGTTCGTGTATTAAAAGGATAAATCCACTGATTGGGAGTTTAGTAAGATACCGTTTGATTGCGTTTTGTAGCCCCTGGCTAACAAGTCAGAAAATGGTATGCAAATACGACAACGCATCGGCAACTCGTTTTTTAAATATCGCCAAATTAAGAGCAGAGACGACATAATTAGGGAGGGCGTTCCAACACTGGCACACGCGGAGGGAAAAAAATTTCTACGCGTTCAAGCCGGTTATACTGTATTGTCAGTTTCAGAGGATGACCTCTTAGGTTAGTGTTATGGTACAATTCCAGCGGCGGACAGCAAATATGGTTTGCTTTCTTCAGAATCTGGTAAACTATTATGAGATCCCCCCCCCCACAAAAGCCGATTTCCACTGCTGTGCATTCTTAGATATTTCAGTCTAAGCTGATAGGGCTGGTGAAGGAGGCCCCCGAGGTCCTTGGTTTGCCCTTCGTTGAGGAGTCTCTAGAGCAATGAGGTTACGTTTCTGCCACAGCTGCTACGGCTGGATAGCATATTCCACGTGCGGTCACATGTAGGCGTTAAGCATTTGGGAAAGATTGACGGTTCAAATCGACCGAAGGCTCTGCGAACCAGGTCAAAAGTTTGATTGCCGGTTCTCGTCGTCTTCTCTGCTTGTTTTGAACCCCTTAGATCTTCTTGCACTAGTACACGCAGGTCACGCTCCTGAGAGGCCTTTTGCAATGTGTGATCTCCAAGCTTGTGAGCGCTCACCGGCTGGTGACGCAGATGGATCACCTTGCAGTTAGCTATGTTCAACTGAAGTAGGTTCCTCTTTGACGATTCATAAATACAATCTAGGTCATGGTGGATGTTGCGGGCACGTCGAAAATTCCCGCAAAAACACGCCAGAAACCCCGGCAGAATGGCTGTGGAAACCGAGGTCCAATTCCTCCCCACAACGCAGCAGAGCTCAGCCACTCCGAGACGCGCCCCAACCGCGCACCTTTCGACAATGCTCATTTGCAAACTACCACCTCTGCGTGGTGACTGTTTTCCCTAACTTAATAACCCATAGCACTGGCTGTGACCGTCCTTTGTTGGTCGTAAAAGAGCCTACAGAGGACCACTTGCCTTTTCTTTCTCTTCGCCTCAGTTGGGAGTCGGTCGGGTCACGTGATTGCGAGTGAGTCGTTAGCTGGCCAGCCTTCGCATCTAAGTCATTAGCGCGCGCCTATCGTAACCCCCCTTTCGTGTGCGCCCGTTTCCGAGGACTCCGCGTCTATCCGAACAACCGCGGCTAGGATCGTTCACACGCTCGCTCAATTTTCCGTCTCACCGGCTAAGCTAGCGTTATCAGGTCAGCGCAACTCCGTTCGATTGGCCAGCGTTACAAGTCGTCATCGTAGGCGTGCTCCAACCGTGCCAGCGATAATCTTATCAGGCAATTACGCAATTAGAACAGAGGCGGCGTTCCCACAATTATAACAGTGGAGTAGATCGTGATCTTCATTGTTACTAACCACCCGCCATATCTTGACGTCATCGGCGAAAAGCAGGAAATTTGAGGGAGAACTCTTGCCAGGCCGTTGATAAACACCATAAATCAGCGCGGTCCCAGCACTGGGCCTTGTGGGACACCACATTCTACTTCAATCGGGTTAGAGAGTGATCCCCTAACGCGTACTTGAAGCTTCCGTTGGTGAAGAAAGTTGCCAATCCAACCAAGCACAGGATCTCGGATTCCGTAGCTCTGTAGCCGATGAAGTAGGCGGTCGAAAGCTTTGGAAAAGTCCGGATAGATGACATCAAATCCGACGTCAACTCCTAGTTAACTGAGGAATAACCGGCCTCGGAAGCATTCGTTGGTTGCTGTAGCATTCAGCGCTATAAATCTGTCGACTATCCAAGCTTTGGCGTTGCAAGGGGGTCGATGAACATGGTCTAGTTTCCCAATGAAACAAGTCGGTTATACTTTTTTGGAAAACCATACCCTTAACCGTACACGTGTCCAATGTTTAAATTAACTTTCGGCCATAATGTGCTTAACTTATTTCATGTCAACCGAGTTACACTTACTTAATCGCGCACATTTCATACAGCATTAAAAGACTAGATATCCAGTTTGGCGCCTAATGCTTGGGCGCTGCGAGTCGCGCGAGCTGTGAGTTTGTGCTTTCTAGCACTGCGCTTTGACCTTGCAGCCACCACGCTCGCCTGACCGATGTGCACCGCCCTCAAAGCTGGAAAAGCACAGAACGTTAACCAACCCACTGGGTCAGGTAACGACACCACCTTGACTGGCAGAAATGCGAATCCGAAAAGGCTCCATGCGAAAGGCATTTTCGGGTTAGGAAAATGTCATCAACTAGTTAAAATCGGTCTGGCTTACTCGCACTGTTTGGAATGGTATCATCCGAAGTGTGCAAATGCGTCCCTACAACAGGTACGAGAGCGAACTAGCCCCCAAGATGCACTTTGTTTCTGTAATGCGTGCTCCCCCATCCCACTCGTTAAGTGCTTGCTTATCCTAGCTCAAAAGTGCGACCGGTTAACCACAGAAGCCGAGCAGAGGATAAACGATAAGATTACTTTACTGGAAGCGAGTATGCACCACCGAAGCGGAACGGATTCTAAGCAACCGAATGCTGCACAATCCGCTTCCCCTGAATCGCAATCAGCCACGTTGTCTTCTCCAATTTTGGTAGAACGCCAGACGAATAGTGACCGTAACTACGAGAGTCAAACAGTACTCATGGTAACAAAAATCAGGCACCAGTCGAAACATCTGGTTAAGCAACTTCCACTAGACCTCTCATCTAGCATTAACAAGGATGAAGCAGCCGAACACCAACCCTCGGTACCTGTAGCTCAAATGTTTCTTGTCGAGACAACCCACCGGAACATCAGTTACACATGCAGAGATTGCTGCAAAAGTCCACCTGGAGGCCGCACTTGCGGCCACTGCTGTTGTACAAACGGATAACGCGAATAGAGGGACAAAGAGTAAACAATGAACACTTGACAGCAGGTCCGGACAAACCAGTGCCTCCCTTGTAGATAAGCGAAAAAGGGATCCAACAACAGTGCTCGAACTGTTGTATGATCAGTTCTCCTTGGGTCTACCGCCATCATATTGAGGGATAAGTTATCGGATGACCAAGACCAATGGAACTTTGTGCGTGCTAATGAGTGTCAAAGTCAAGCCCATAAATTTATTACGAATTACTCGTCATCTGAACTCGCCACGCTATAGAAAACCCAGACTTATTCCAATAACAGTAGAATCCTCCACCGACGTAGAAAACATTTGGCTCTCCGAAAGCGCGTTAAAACACTGATCCTGTGGGATACGCATCTACCCCGATGCCCTTGGGGCGCGTGAAAATCAAAATAAACACAGAAGACGGACGCAGAGAGCAAGACCGCCTAAACACAATCTTCATACATGGCGTGTCAGAACATCTTTCTAAAGATGTTCAAGAGACCGAAAAGCACGATTTAGAACAGTGGTGGTTCATTCGTGAAACACTTTCTTTGGATAATATTGTAGCACTATCGCTCACCAGGATACCTCTCACCAAATTGTAGAGGATACGATCCTAGAATCCTGAAACTTGTGGTTCAGCCAGAGCAACAAGCAACGGATGTTTTGGATCGACGATGTAGAAATCGGAAATGTCTTGCTTCTGAAATTCGGTTAAAGGTCGCAGAAGCTTTGCGCAATTCAAATATTAAAGCACCTGAAGCACAGAAGCGTAACTTGACTGCTGTTTTAATTAACATTGACGTAAGTCCAAACAAAGATTGGGACGCATCTTGGCTGGGTCAAGTTTAAGACGAGGGACCATTATCTCAGCAAAAAACGTGTAACTGCTGACCTCGCAACGGTCAGCATTCTTCCATACTTGACACCTTCACCTCTTTGTGAGCTCCTAGACAGAAAAACTGGTCTGCTTGTAAACGAATGCTCAGGGTCTTTCTAATAAACTGGTCGGACTGAAAGATCGCCAAGCTCCCGGGTCGTATGATGTCATTGGTATCACCGAAACTTGGTTATACACGGGAATGACGAACGCTGAAGTTTCTCTACTGAGCATGTCGCTGATCCGGAACGGTAGGCTCATAAAAGGAGGAGGGGTAATTCTGCATTACCGAAGCGACTTAAAATGAGAAGCCGTGGCGGATTCAGACTCTCAGTTCCCCAAGTTTCTTTGGTGCCGGTTGCAGTTCAAAGACAGGGACATTTACCTTATTGTCTTGGTGTACCGCCCCCTAACTCTACACCCGAAACCGACTGCCACCTAGCGGCGGCTTTAAGATGCAGTTTACAGCAAATGTACACTTACATACTTATCAAGGGTGATTTCAACCTACATTGTGTAGAAACTCCTGCCACGATCGGAGAACAATTCAAAGCCGATCTGCAAGATCTCGTAACCACTGTTCCTCTTTACAATCACATCACTCTGCCCACTCGGTTCAGAACAGGTAACAGGCCATCTGTGCTGGATCTTGTGCTTACCAACGAGGAGTATATGGTTGAAGTGTTGGTTTTAGACTGCCCGTTGGCACGCCGTAATCAGTTTCAACTTCGTCTACTATGCAGAATATCGGAATGAGAACGATGAGACTGTGCGAACCATCACAAGCTACGATCGATTAGCCCAACTCCTCAGCGCCACAACTTGGTCGTTCCTCGAAGAAGAACCCCCGGAAGTCGCATGGCTCGAGTTCACCAAAAAATTCAGTCAGCTGATTGCAGAGGCTTCAGAGATAAAGTTTCCTTAAG